GGCGGGCGGGTCTGGTCGGGAGGGGCGGCGGGGGTCGCTGTCTCCGCCGGGTCCTGGACGCTCCCGCAGCTGAGAGGCCGGAGCGCTCATTCCCTCGCTGACGGATGGGGAAACTGAGTCTCCGAGAGCGCGGTGTGCCGGGCCTCGAAGCCCCTCTTCGGGGCCGCTCGCTGCTGGCGCAGGCTGAAGCGCTCCGTGGCATCGCCCCGCTCGATCCTCGGCGCAGCGCTGCGGACACCCAGGACTCAGCGAGCTGCGCTGTGGTCGGTGCCCCCGTGGGTGGGGTGAGCGCCCGAGAGCAGCGGCCCGTGCCCGTGCCCACTGTCCGACCGCGCCCGCGGGAGGCTCACGATGCACCGGCCTGTGGGCGCCTGGTGGCCCGGGACGCCGGGGCGGAGGGCAGGGGCGGCTGCGGAGCCGTGGGCGCGTTTCCCCCGCGAGAACCGGGACCGCGTGCGGGCCCTCACTCGGCAGCCCGCGCTCCCAGCCCGGGCAGCGTGGAGCCGGCGGCCGGGGGCCTCAGCCCGTGACCCTTCACTGAGCGAGAGGGGAGCTCCCTCCGAACGGGGCGAGCTCTGATGCGCTGTGCGCGTGTTCAGGACGGCAGCGCGGGGACCGAGGCGGCGGCAGTGGGCCAGACTGGGTGTTTATAGAATGAGGGAGCGTTGAGACATTTTAGGCCCACAGTTACTTGTGACCTTTTTCTTTAAGAAGGCAGGTAATTGGTGCTGAGTGCTTCTGTCCTGTAACCCGCGGCGCAGGGAGAGCCTCCGCCCTGTGCAGGCAGGCCGCCTCAGAGCATCCGTTGCAGGTGGTGGTGGCTTAACTTCCCTCCCTTGCTTCCAGAGTGCACCTGGTTATAGGCCATGCTTAGGGAAGTAGAGGGAACAGTCCCTTTAATCATTACTGATGTTCTGTGCATCCGATGAGGCAGCCTGCTTCCGACGGCGAAGGATGACTCTCCCTTGGGATCATAGCAGTTATGCTTTACAAACCCATTCCAAGAGCCTTTCTCCACAGTGATTTTTTTCTTTCCTTTTCGTTAATGGCCAAATATTCTGATCTCTGCAGTTGAGTATCATGTTAAACGTAGCAAATCTCACCCCATAGAATGTCTTTCTGTGCCACGAGGAGCTCAAATATTTGTTGGGCGAAGAAATGCTGAATGCATCTGAACAGGAGAACTGTAACTTAGCAAACAAAAGACCTCCGAATAGATGTAATATTGGGGAATAGTAAGAGATCTGTCAGTGGACTATATAAGCAGCTTTTCTTGGCTTGATTAGCAAAAAATAAATCGGGCAGTTATTTACTACTGTTGAAGCTTATGTATACTCCAGCTCTCTCTGCTGCAGCATGAAGGACACGTGACCTGTCTTGATCTAGAATTTCAGAGCTAGAAGTGGCCTTCGCAAGTCCAGTACCATCCTGCTCTAGATAAAGACACTGAGCAATTGTAGAGCAGACTGCTGGAAGTTTCTACTGGTGGGGCTGTCTAATCTTGGGCAAATTATTTTTAAAACTCTCAAAACCTTAATTTTCCTATACATAAATTGGGGATAATAATATCTGTCTTGCTTACTCATAGAAGGAATTGTGAAACATGAAATTATCTCCTGTGTGTGACACTCTGGGAGGAGGTGGGAGAAAATGCCATGTAATTATAAGTGCTATTAATATTTATTAGCTTTTTAATGCTTGCAGGAAGTTATAAAAAGCAGTCTTCTATCTAGTGTAAAATATTAATTTAAAATTGAATTTGACATATTTAAAGCTTAATAACTTAATATTTAAAAGCTCATCTGAAAATTATTCGATATAAAAGTCAAACTTTTATTTTTCCTTAAGGAAATGTATCCTTTCCAAGTAGTTCTTGGAGTAGTTGAATATATCTATTCATGACCATGTTTCTAAGCTGGTGTTTTTTTTCCTAGGTGAATTCTAATTTGGTAGTTAACATGCCTCATCAACAACGTCCAGCCTGGCAAAACAGTTGTTTTTGGAGACCTCCAAAAAGTTTCCTTTATTAGCTGTTAGTGCTTTCTCCTGAGAAGAAGATTATCACTGATAGGGTACCCCTTGGAAAAGACCTAAATATTAGTGTGTACAATTTGTCAGATTCAGATTTAGCTGCTTCTAACCAATGATTCTCTCTTTTTAAAAAAGATTTTATTTATTTATTTGACAGAGAGAGACAGCAAGAGAGGGAACACAAGCAGGGGGAGTGGGAGGGGGAGAAGCAGACTTCCCGCTGAGCAGGGAGCCCGACGCGGGGCTCGATCCCAGGACCCTGGGATCATGACCTGAGCCGAAGGCAGACGCTCAACGACTGAGCCACCCAGGCGTCCCACCAGTGATTCTCTTTTTGAGCAGCCAATTTATTTGGGTGCAGAAAGTTTAAGTGACTTGTTCAAGATCTCCTAGACACTGAACCCAGAAAGATGTTTCTGATTTACAGGAAGTAGAAGAACCACCTGTCCAACAGACACATGATGCCAGGTCTCTAGGAGGTGGTGTGCGGGATGCAGAGAAACACAGATCTGACGTGGGTGCACGTGTGGAGGCAAATGGCCAGGGCGGGAAGGAGGGAGGGAAGGTGGAAAACGTCTTAGGACGAAAGTAAATACAAGATGAATACCTATTCTACGAGAGACAGGGACTCCAGATGTGTTATGATTGCCTTTTTTTTTTTTTTTAAAGATTTTATTTATTTATTTGAGAGAGAGAATGAGAGAGAGCGCATGAGAGAGGGGAGGGTCAGAGGGAGAAGCAGACTCCCTGCCGAGCAGGGAGCCCGATGCGGGACTCGATCCAGGGACTCCAGGATCATGACCTGAGCCGAAGGCAGCCGCTTAACCGACTGAGCCACCCAGGCGCCCCAATGATTGCCTTTTTAAAAAAAGTTTGTGTATGCAAATGGACGTATTTATTATGGTTAAGAGTAGAGAAACTACGATTTCAACTGTGGGTATTGTTTACAGGATAATAAACAAATACACGGTCCTTCCGTGCCTTCATTAGTAGACCTAAGGGAAATGAGAAAATTAGTATTTTTAATCCCTGGATTCAAGATGATGAATTGCAAATGCAGTTTTTTAAAGGGTAGGAAAAATTGTCCAGATATTTTAAAAGTTATTTTTTGACAGCTAAGCCTTATAAAGATTCAGATTCCCATTTATAAAATAAAACATTTTTTTCTAAATACTTCACTGAAACTTAAAATGTAAGAATTATATAGTATATTTATAATTTCCTATATGCGTATGTTTATAACTTAAAATTTTATGGTTTATTTAGTCCCGCCAACTTTTTATATTTCGTTTGTCATTGTAGAAACAGTTCCCCCAGTTGGAATCTATGGGTTCTCTTTCTTAACTATCATAAATATCTTCATATGTATCCATGGTGTGTCTCTTTTTAAGACAACAAAACTTTGACATTTCCACAGATTAATTCTTCTTGTTTTTAACCTCAAGTCTGTTGTGAATTTAAGGAATAGAGACCCTATGAGAACCAGTTCATGAAAAGCCAATTCATAAAAGGGTTTCCTCTTTGGTGCACACCTTTCCCGGGCCGCCTTGGTCCTGTCATCGGGGGCTGTCTGCTGTTTCCGAGGCGGCCTCCCTCTTCGGCGCCTTTGTGTGTCCTGCTCCCCGCGGCCCGCTTCCCTGCCTGCCTCGTGCCCTTGTGGTCTCGGTGCATGCAGGCATCACCCCTGGGGAAGTCTTCCTGCCCTGCTCTCCTCTTAGGTCCCCAGAGATGGCCGTCTTCCTGTCTCTGAGCACCGACGCCATCCTGTTTTCTTCCAGACTCTTCACCCTTTCCAGGGCCGACTTGTGCGGCCAGTTGTGCTCAGAACCTGCCAGGTGTTGACTGAATTGGTGTGTTTCTGTTTCAAGATCCCACGGTGAGGAAAATGGAGATGACAGTGGAATGTGTTGTCCTCAAGGTTCTTTGGGTCACAAGGGACAGAAACCCCTTAGCTGCAACAGAGAAGGGAGGAGATTTATTTTTAATTTTTTTTTTTTTTTAGATTTTATTTATTTGAGAGAGAGAGACAGAGATAGTGAGAGAGAGAACACAAGTGGGGAGGAGAGGGAGAAGCAGGCTCCCCACAGAGCAGGAAGCCCGATGCGGGACTCGATCCCAGGACCCTGGGATCATGACCTGAGCTGAAGGCAGACGCTTAACCGACTGAGCCACCCAGGCGCCTGGGAGGAGATTTATTCAAAGTTAGACCGGTGCCTCAGAATTGGAGGGCAGAATGTGCCGCCTGATCTGCTGCGGAGTGGAACCAGGGACCAGCGAGTAATGCCTCTGCCCAGCTCACACCTGCTTTGTCTCAGCCCTGT